CCAGCGTACGTTCCTGTTTGGTCGCCTGAGACTGACATCAACTTTTCTGAAATGAACACATGTGTGCTGATAACTCCTCGTTCAATTTATATGAAATTTTATTATGGTTTCGTTGTTTTTATATATATATTTGTTTTAAACAAAATCTACATAAACTGAGTGAAATATCATCAGTTATTTGTTTTGAAAATAAAAAAAAAGAAACAACATAAATACAAAATACTTGTAGTGCACTTCTCTCCTTCCCAGCCATTTTTACACCCGCATGTTCCGTGTGTCATGTCGCGACATAAGCATTGTCCGACAGACCTGGTGCATGCCAAAGCACTGCACTGCCCGCATTTCTCTTCACAGTCAGGTCCAAAATATCCACTTGTACAAGCTAATAATACAAATAGAGGTAGTGCCATTGTATACAAATATTGAGTTCGGGTATGTACTAATAAACATAATCGCTACTGAAATGGATTACAAAATTGCGAAGCTTTTAGAAATTATCTTTTGAAGCAAACATAAACTATTTTACGAAAAATATACTGCAGGTGAAATATTTTGATGATAATTGACGATAAAGAAATGAAACAAAATGTACATGATTCATTGTCTTTTTACAATAATAGTACGTAATTTGAATCTTACACATTAAACTATCTTTTCTATACATGATTAATAGCTCAGCCATAGATACTTTGACAACATGTTCTGTACGTTATTGATATGTTCACTGTACCTATGCACGTTCCGTTGTTCTGTTGACATTCCTCATTGTTACAATGACCAGAACATGACATACTACAATTTTGTCCAAAGAAACCAGGTTCACATGCTACAATACAAATATTTCATATTTTACACATAACACAAAACAAATAATATTAAAAGTTGTCCCGGAAAATCCAACTCTAAATTCCAGAAATATCAATGAGTTATTAAGATTGTTTTGCCTTTAGATAAACAAGAAATATTAAAAATTGTATTAATAGAGTCCATAATAAAAGTCGTCATCTAAACGGACCTTGGTTTTACAAATGATGCATTAGATAGAATGTCCACAATCCCATAATGCACTTACTAAATAATATTTGGCAAAATCAGAAATACTAAGGAACCATTGCTATCTCATTTGCCTCCATCCATATATACACTGTACGTCAATCAATTAAAGGACACAGCGACCGGAAAATGAAACTGTTAACACATAAAACGTAATTAACGTACCCTAGTATATCACCAAAAAGGTTTAATGATCGACAGAGAGAAAAGCTGACTCTATTTGCGGCATCATTGTACCTGAACAATCCCCGCTACTTCTGGCACATAGTGAGTCTCGACAGTGCACCGGACAAGTCTGCTTACAGTCAATGTCATACAGCCCGGGTCCACATTCTAAAACACAATTAAACAGATGCATGTTTTGATGTCTCGTTAAAGCAATACTTATACAACATGTTTATTTTAGCTATTATGTTTACTTTGCTGTAGGAAGTGTACAATGTAACATATGGATATATTTGTTATTTGGTTTATGTAATTATGGTGCTAAT